ACCTGTCATTGAATAGTGCAGTATCAAAGGCCCGCTGTAAATCATGGAGATCATCGGAGTTGGTCACTGGGCACCAGAAATACAAGTCATGGCAAACATGAGGAACGGCACATCTAACACGGAGCGATAGGCCTGACCCGACTAGGACGGACATCACAAGCTTTCAGAAAAGCAATCTGAGTACTTGCTCCGATACACCATGTGATGGTAGTTTCAGCTATAGGCGAGAATGAGGGACAATATGGAGTGCGTTGGAGAAGTCAGTGAACAGAGTATCCACTGTCAGACTCTGATACATGGTATTTGTTCAGCATTTGAGTGCCACCAGCAAATTGGCCATGATGTAACAGACTGAGCAAACTAAATGCTTTCAAGTGCATCGCCTGTCAACTTTCCCGGAACACTCGTCAGACACATGTCTGCAATTCCCAGGTACAGACTTGTGCCATTTTTAAAGACGTGGTAGACGACAGCCTCCTTGCAGACCCTAGGCACCGAAGTGACACTTAGTACTGATGAGTGACGGGCCTAGTCCACTTACCAGTTTGTATAAGAGCTTGGGGTGAATCGCATACCCACCAGGAGGTTTACTATTTTAACTCCATCAAAACAACGAGAAAATGAGTCTCCGACAAAGAAATATCAGAAATAAATCTCATACAAGATTTTCACTTTATAAATTGAAAAATGGCAAGTAGGAACCAAGTATAAGACTGTATTTAAGAGTAAGTAGAAAGGTTTCTGTACAACTCTATCGAATTATGAAAAATCTAAAAAACATTTAATTGCGTATCGTTAGCGGTAGTGTTTGATCAGTCAATCGTTTAGCTTTGTTCGGTAAGAAATTGGTATTAGTGTCATTATTTCCGGGTACACGATGTATTTATTGCGTTGTATGTGTACCGTTTCACAAAAGTACAGGTTTCTGAAATAATCGTCGATACTTGCCATAAAACGCTTAACAGAATCGGCCTCTATTAATCCCTCTGGCAGTGTATTCTATAAGTTTACGATTTTTCGTTCTATACAAAATTGATGGGATACCTTGTTCATGCAGGGGACCCTGGGTTTATAGCGGTGTCCTGTGTGTTACAGGGTTCCCGCAGGTGAAATATTGGCCGCAGTATGGGGAAGTGATTCAAGTGTACTACTTGATGGGTCATAATAAGACCAATTCTTACTCGGCGGTAGGATAGTGTGTACAGTACGAGCCTTTCATAACGTTTTTCATACGGAAGCTTTCGTAGACTCGGTACCATACCAGTTGCGCTGTAATGAACGAGGTGAATAGGCGAGGGACGGTTTCTTCGGACCAAGTGGAGAAACTACGTTGTAATGCCCAGAGCATACGAAGTCCCGCACGGTACAATTTCTCTGTATTTGCTAATGATCTCATAACATGTCGCGAGAGCGCTGCTAAGTCTCTGACAGATGTGTTAGAGTGGGGCAACTGGTTGTCCAAGGTGTATGGTCGAGTGGTTGGACGTCCGATGATACTGATGAACTCCGACTTGCTTGACTTAAGAGGGAGTTGCGTTTCAGTGGACCACGTTGACAGTCGATCTAAGTCATGCTGGAGGCGAGCGCAGTCGTCCTGGTCACAATGATCCACCAGATTTTCAAATCAGTCGCAAACAGGGCACATGGTGACTGGAGTTGCTGCGAAAGATCGTTGATATGAATAAGAAATAATACTAACCCAAGTACAGTTCTTTGAGGCACGCCACTGGTCGATGGGAACCAGTCTGTCATGTAGTCATTAACCTGCACTCTAAACTTTCGTCCCACAATAAACTCATGTAACCACTGAAGTAGAGTGCCACAGGTTCCGTAAGTCCACAGTTTACGAAGGAGTAATTCGTAGTTCACTCTGTTAAACGCCTTACTAAAGTCGATGTACACCACGTCAACCTCCTCCCGTTCGTTGACAGCTCGTACCCACTGGTGGTTTGCGTACATTAAGTTGGTGATGCAGGATTTCCCTCTCATAAAGTCGTGTTGCGCTGGCGTCAATACGTCCATCGATTCGAAGAACGATAGCAGACACTTTTCATAACCTTCTCGAGAACTCTGGATAATATCGAAGTCAAACAGATCGGTCTATAGTTCTCTACTTTAGTTGGATCACCACCTTTGGCAAGCGGTCTCACTATCAAGCATTTCCGGTCGTTAGGGACAGATCCTTCAGAGAGTGATTTATTGAATAGGTTTGTCACGGCTGATGAGATGATATTCGGTAGGGACTTGAGTACTAATGGGTGAAGTCCGTCTGCTCCGTGACGCTTTGTACCATCGAGGTTGACGAGTAGCTGATACACTTCGACTGCATCACATTGTAGGCTGTCTAGCAAGACTGGTGCAACTGTACCGTTACTGGAACAGCCGCAGCTTCTCTGGAAAATACGGTGAGGATGTGGGTAGCCAAGGCGTCCGCGCGCTCCACGCTTGAAATCAGCGTCTGTCTGTCCAAGCTCTAAGACCGGTAGTTCGACCCCAGGTTTCATCTGACGCTTCAAGTAGGCAAATATTCTTTTTTGGTGCAGTTGGGGCTAGTTCCTCTTCGAACTGCCGACGTTCCTTGATCTTCACGACGTTACATAAGTTATGCTGTTTCTTGTACACCGTGTAATCTTCATCACAACCAGAGCTGATACATCTATTGCAAAGTCTGCGATGCCGTCGCGTTAACTGTCTATATTCCATATGAAGCCAATGCGGTTGGATAGGTTCGACTTTTGAATACTTCAGAGGAACGAACGGAGCGCACAGCGAGTTAAGCTTCCCCTTCATTACTGACCAACAGGCCTTAAGCGACGCATCTTTTGGTAGTGTCCAATCAGTCTGAATTGCGGCCTGGACGAGTTCGTTGAAGTCCGTCTTCCAATAGTTAAATGTCGGTCTCCGTTGATTGTAATATGGTAACGGCAGTTCTTTGCTTAGCACAATGGAGCAGTGGTCACTGTTCGACAGAGGTTCGAGGACTCTGATCTCGCTCAGTTTCTGCTCGCAGCTCGTAAACATAAGGTCCAGACAAGATGCCGAGTGCAAAATAACGAGCGTCGGTTGGATGACATGTTGCGTTGCCCCGATTTCAATAGTCGTTTTAGTGAACTGAGCGTCAACGTCGCCATGAACTAGAAGAAGCCGATCGTCTGGACAGAATATCTTAGTTAAAGTTAGATCCCCTATCAGGAAGAACTGAGGGCGGCTCATGTGCTTCTGTATATGTGGTAGCTAATCACAACAACGGTTTAATGGGCTACGGTAGATAACACCCACTATTAGTTCTGCGCGTCTGAGGCGGATTGTGCATCACAATTGCTCGCATAAGTCACACTCGCTCCGATAGGTGTTGTTAAGTTTGCCAGACTGATGAGTTTATGTACAATTGAACACCACCATGAACCTTTGATTTTCGGTCGCATCGGAAACAAGAGTATCCTGACAACACGACTTCTTGGGGTATGACATCGGAGTTCAGCCAAGTCTCTGCAAGTCCTAAAACGTCCGGCCGCTCTGAGACAACGAAGCGGCACAGTTCATCACGTTTGTTCATTAGACTGCACACGTTGGCAAATGCCACATGGAGGTTTTGAGAGGTACCGCGGGACGTGCCTGGTAGTTGAGCAACCGGTTGATGCTGGTTCGTACACCCTTCTTGATCACCCGAAAATTTACAATTTGTAGGCCTGTCTCACCTAGTGCTGTACGGTGTTTGAGCTCAATGACCGCAGTCTTCAAACGATCCCTGTCTCCGGGTTCGAAATCGCGGCGGATGTGAACCTTTATGCCTTTCAGCCTTGACAGTATGGGCTGCGGCTGATTTGCAAAAGTCGACATGACTGGTTAGTTTTCTGGCCAAGTTGGATTACTGTTTAATCGTCACACTGTCTTCACCCACATCCAAGAGTTTATCGATGAGTTTCTGGAGGAACTCAGCATCATGAATGTTATAATCTTGTCACCAGACGCGATTCCGAAATTGGCCCTTTACTGCTCCACAAAACTGCTGGCCCAACCGAAAGACAAAGCAGAACACCAATGACCTTGATAAAATAACGTGTTAACTGCCGTAAACAAAACACTGTACAACTGCCGCGGACCTTGGCTGTATTTCTAGGTCTCTTATAGACCTTCGAATTCTGGAATTGGAAGGCCAACTACTAAGATTAGTGGTTTCCAGGTCAGGTGGTTGGTAGTCACGTGCAGAACTTAGAACATTCCAGAACGTTCGTAATCGATGCGATAATTGTCGATAATCGATTAATCGCTAAAATAATGGATTTTCCTGTTAATTCTTACTTTCCCCCGGACACCCCGCTCTTGAGATATCGTCCAAGGTATACGATAAAAGCCTAGAATTAACCTGCAGTCTTCGGGACGGTGTTCTCTGCCTATCGGTCCATCCCCTTGGCAGAAGTGCCCGAGAACTGGGTTCCAATGTCCGTGGTCTGGATTCCTTGCTCAACTGTAAGCGGTCGTAAACGGGTTCCTTCGGTAAGTTGAAGCTTTCTATCAATAAGTCGGACGAGAGGTCGGTAGGCCTTGCTTGTTCTGGTTGGCACAATGTTGGCCGTAACTGGTTTGCATGCCGGGCCAAGATCTGTGCGCCCACTATCACGTCATACATGATGTTTTCCGCGCTTGTTTTTGAACGTCCCTGGCGTCCACTCCGCGTGGCCTTCCCGATAGTTCGTACTAGCACTTTCTGTCCGATTGTAAACAACCGTTTCTTTGCTCCATGGCGCCGGTTAAAATCCTGTTCCATTCTGCTGTTTCCTTCACCAACAGAGGATTCCGAGCGCGGTTGGATGGCGTCAAAAGGCATGCGGAGCTTCCGGTTCATCATAGTCTGTGCTGGAGAAAATCCGTCCGACGCTTGTGGATTCGGTGTTGATCGGTAGAGGAAAAGGAACCGGTCAATCACCTCCACTTTACGTCCCTCCCCTTCTGATTTGTAGAGAGCTCGCTTGAACGTATCGACAAACCTTCCTGTCTAGTCATACGACTGTGGGTGAAACGGCGGCGAGCGAATGTGCTGAACGGCGCATTGCTTGCAGCACACTGTAAAAGTTGCCGAAGTGAATTGTGCCATTGGCAGTGACAATTGTCCCTGGACAGCCAAATCTGGTGAAGGTTTGGCGCAGTTTTGATACAGTGGCATTGGTGGTTGTGCTATCCATGAGAAATACTTCAGGAAACTTGCTGTATGAGTCGACTATAATGAGTAAACTTCGGCCGTTGATCGGTCCTGCGAAGTCGACATGGATGCGGCACCATGGTTTAGTAGCTTTTGGCCATGAATATAAGTTGTTTGTGGCGCTTTCAAGACCTTGGCGCACTTTTGGCAGTGCGTAGCTATTTCTTCTAGCTGGTTGTTCATGACGGGCCAGTATACATAAATGCGGGCAAGCGCCTTCATCCGGTTCATCCCAGGATGCCCGGCGTGGAACTGTTGAAAAAGGCGCTCCTGAAGTGCCTTGGGGATGACCACAATTTCCGAAAATAGGGTGCAGTCGTGCATAATAGGGAGCGAGTGTCTCCACTGGAAGTACTATTGCAACTCGACAGATGGATATGAACGCTGCCAAGTTGTTTCGTGAAACTGTATATTTCTTGAGTACTGGGTCCCGAAGCGTTTCGGTTCGTACAGCTTCTGCGGTAACTGGTAGACCGTGCAGTGCATCACTTACTAGATACTTGCCGTCAGGTTTGATCTCGACCGAGGCAATGATTGTGTCCTCATGTTCTTGCTGGTGGGCATCATGTAAGCGTGACAGTGCATCCGCTTGGCCAATGAAAGTAGTTGCCTGGTAGTGGATCCAGAAATCATACCCCATTAAGGTAAGAACCCAAGGTTGTAGTTGGTTAGTTGCGTAGGTCGGGATGTTCTTTTCTGAACCAAAGATAGCCAACAAGGGCTTGTGATCTGTCAGAAGCTTGAAGCAGCGGCCGTATAGCATTTTGTGTAATTTTTTGACCGCGAACACTATGTCCAATGCTTCTTTCTCGATCTGACTGTAATTCCTCTCGGCGTTTGTGAAGGTTCTGGCGGCATGGGCGATTGCTTACTGAGATCCCTCGGTGTATGTGTGTGAAATTAGTGTGTCAATCCCATGGCTTGATGCATCTGTGCTTAGGACAAGCTCTTTGAAGGGATCAAAATGAGTCAAAAGCGAGTTTGATCATAACGTATCTGAGGGTTTCCATTCTTTGACTATGGTACGTGGAAGACCATGAGATTATGACGCCTCAGCGAAATCAGTGATGAAGCTGTGGTAGCAGGACTAGAGGCCCTTATCGGTTTGGGTTGTTATTTAATCAGCAGGAGCCGCCTCAACTCGATTACGTGGGCCCTTGCGCTTTCGAGTGGTCCATGGATCCTCGGTGTACAGGAGTTCACAGGCAGACTCTGAGAAATTCACAAACCGATCAGTGAAGCGGCATTTCGTAGGTCCCGAGTCTGAGTCTTCCATCGGTGAGGAACATTGAATTTGAGGCTAGGCCGGAGTCGAAGACGCTGGTGGTGGTGCAGATCGCGGAGTGAGAAAGGAAGGCGAGGTGACAGAGGTACTTTCACGAGGGCGTTTGACCCCACGTGGCGAACGGTTTGGTTCTGTCTGGAAAAGAGATTTTTCCGTGGCTGTTGGCGGTCGCTGTGTATTCTGATGTCCTGCATCGCGATATTTATCACATATAGCTTGAAAAAACCGATGTCGGACGTCGAGAGATTTTCGAAACATGTCAACGGATAAGCCAATGCACGGAATATGGAACGAAACACCGCAGCCAAAGCACCGAGAGTGCATGAGCCTTATTTCCCACAACTTTTGAACACGAACCACAAGTAGCTTGAGACGGCACCAAAAGGTAGAGAAAATCCAAGATAGCGGATGCAGATGGCAGTAGGGCCAATCAAAGAGATCTGCGGAATTAGTCAAAGGATATCCATCAAATTTGTACCGATTGGAAAATACCCCAAAAGAAGAACATCGGTGTACGATTCACACAGAAAAACGCTTATAACACAGTAATCCGAAGCAATAGTAGTATCCGGCACACGGTGATTAAAAAATCCGCAGTATGTCTCCGAGCCCATAAGAAAATTCTTCGGGATGTACTCCATGAATATCTGCGCTTTCGAGGGGTACTCAAGGTCTGGGGGCACCTATAACATCAAGATGTCTTAATAAATCCTGAAGAAACACAGCGACCTTTGTCGTTCATGTAATTCATTCATAACACTCACCTGAGAAACCATAAGCTTAAGCTTGGCAACGCAGTATACCCAGCTATAACGCCACATTAACATCCCCTGTGAGTGTGCTATCTGTGGAATGTCATTCGCTGGTACGTAATCTCGGTCCCCACTACACTAGCAAGTAAACTTCAAGCGCTGTGTGTACGTCCTTGTGTGTGTGCGCTCACGAGCATTTCGTTGCATGACCCCACTATGTTTGATCACGCTCATAAAATAGCGCCACCGCATCCTAACAATATTTGGCTACCACAAGTCTCTTAGCATTTTCGACATTTTGAGCGATGCTCCACGCTTAACCCAAAACTGCGACCGCTAACACCGCCATTTCGAACTTCCTACGGCAAGTTCGGCAGCCTTTGGATGTTAGTCTGTATGTGACTAAGGCGGCCATCTCGTTCAAACAGACACACCGCAGTGCGCCGTAGCTTTCAAGCGGCGTTCATTGTTATTGATTCCAGTGACAGCTAAAAGACAGCGATGGCTGTGAGTAGCTTAGTAACCAGTCATTGTGCCAAGACCAATCAGTGCGGCGAATTCTTTCGTCAATGACCTCCAGGCAGGTTGTTCTGTCTGCCCATCCAGCGTTGTCACGATGCACGAGAGTGGCATGTTGGCGTGGCAATTTAATATCGGTGTGGCAATTGATATCTCATCATCATCATCATACACGTTAGCTAGAGGTTGGGAGCACCTCAGCTACTGTGCCGCAATACACAGAAAAAATGAGAAAAAAATGCAACTGGTGCAAGCCGGCTGAGCTACCGGTAGGCTACCAGCCGGCTACTGTGCATCAAAAAATTACTATGCAAAATTATATAAGGCTACCTAATGAGATCGTGGTTGGAGGGGAGGCTAAGAGAGATGGGGTGGGGCAAAGAAGCTCACAGCACGAACGCCACTGAGGTCGGCTCCTAGCCATATCAACAAGTGTGTCCAACCAAACGTGTTCATCGTCTTTCGGACCCCAACAAGGGAGCCGAAACGCTCCAACCGAGGCAAGTTCAGAAGTGAGGGCCTTCATTCCTCTCGACCAAGTCATCGCTTCGCCATCCCTCCTCTTGTTCCATCCACACTCCCGGCGCGCAAACAACGCACGTCGCGGGAGTCGGTGGGCTGGCATGCGTAACACATGGCCGAGCCATCGGAGCCTGGTGCGTGAAATGACGGTGCTGAGCGGTTCAGTTTCTTTTCCTGTGCCATAAACAAGGCGTCGAACACGCTCGTCGCTCACGCAGTGTTCCCACCAGATGTGAGCTAAATTACGAAGGCACCGGTGGTCGAACGTAACTAGCCTCTTCAGGTCCGCTGCTTTAAGCGGTCAGATTTCACAACCGTACAGTAGGGTCAAACGTACTGCTGCATTGCACACTCTACCCTTCAGGGCAAGAGTGATGTCGCGCCGGTGCCATAAGTGGCGAAGGTTAGCAAAAGCGCCACGAGCTTTTGCTATACAGTTCGTGGTCTCATCCTCAATCCCACGGGCGCTGATACAACTTCCCAGGTAGTGAAATTTTTGAACGACTTCTAGCTGATCACCACCAACGGTCAGCGTAGGAGGCGGTCCAGATCAATCTTGGAGGAACGCTTTGCACTTTGAGGGTGCGAAGCAAAGCCCGAAGTGACGGACAGCCAGTGCTAATCTGTCCAGTGCCGCTTGACACGTTTGTGAGCTGTCACAGATTAGGGCAATATCATCAGCATACTCAAAGTCAAGAAGTCGTTCTAGTGGGAGCAGATCCACACCTTCTAAGTCGTGTCATGTGGACGCGATTTCCATGACTTCGTCAACAGCGAAGTTGAAGAGGAAAGGTGACAGCTGTCGAGGTCTGTTTGTCCATCCATCGTCAGTATACCTGTACCCAGATGCAGGCATACGGCCATCACTAGTCTTTCACACCCATGTGACCGGGTGAGGGACATTTTGAGAGAGACCAACATCTACTATTGGACAGTTGGCAATTTAGTGCGATCTCGTCTCACCCTAAGGCGTGAACCTTGGTCCCCGAGCAACGGAGTAAAAAGGGACCAGTCTTTTGAAAAATCGTAAATTACGGCGAGGTCGTCTGCATACTCCAAATCCCGAAGTCGGTTCACCGGAAGCAGGTCGATGCCGCTGGGTTCGCAATTCTCCGGAGCATTTTACGAAATTTCGTACATAGCGAAATTGGACAAGGGGATGCTGGACAACACTGTCTCCAGGCAATGGTGATACTAAAAGGGCGCGAAAGTCCGCCGTACACCCGTACTCGGCCCGAGGTTTCAGAATGGATGGTTTGTAGTAGTGACATATTTCTCGGGCACTCTCCTTCTCAGTAGACAACTCCAGAGAGCAGCTCTATCGACTGTATCAAACGCGACTCGTATGTCTAAGAAGACAACGATCGTTGGCTGGCCAAATGTCTGACGACGCTCGAGTATTTGGCGGAGTGTAATGATGTGATCAGTTCAACTCCGACCTGAGCGGAACTCAGCTTGTTCTGTTCGCGTGCCAGGCTGAGCTTCTTTAGAAGCAGAGCTGCGAGAACCCTGGAAACAACACAGATGAGACTAATCCCTCTGTGGTTGGCACAGTCAGTTCGGGTACTCTTTTTGAAGACAGGCACGATATCCGCTAGACTCCAATCAAACGGAATAAATTCAGTGACCCAGATCTCTTGGAGGAGAGAATTCAACACCAGAACAAGTGATAAGCCACCATCTTTTAAAAAATCGGAGAGAGTTTATATGGGCCAGGGGTTTTGTAGTGCTTTAGGAGGCGAAGCTCATGGGCAACCTCAGCCTCGAATGGTGGTGAAGCGTCTACACACCAGGGAGCGCTCTGGGCTCCAGAATGGAAACTCATTGGTGCTATTGGCCAATTAAACAGCTGCTCAAAATGCTCGGCCCAACGCTCGAATCGGTGTTTTTGACAGTGGATTGGCTGGTCATTGGTTTCGCATAAACCTTCGCTTACAGTCGGTTTTTCTGTCGCCAGTAGATCTGATCAAGAGGAAAAGCTTACGGTGACTCCCCGAGGTGGCCGCTTGCTCCATCTCAATGACCAGCTGCGTCCACCAGGCCTCGCGATCTTCCCGAAGAAGCTATTTGAGCTCAGCGTTAGTAGTCTTGCGTAGTGAGCGGTAATTAACGCTAGCAGGAATTGCTCGACAGGCTTCGAGAAGTTGGAGGGATCGTGCAGAGATCCAGTGATTGACAGGACTACTGGTGAAGCCACAGACCAGGGTTGCAGTTGTACATGGCGCCGCGGATGTGTGTCCAGTGTGTTGCAATGTCTGTGTATGAGTCAGTCTTCAGCCTTGAGGCCAAGCTATCCTGAAATGCGCGGAGAACGTTCGGGGCAGAAAGCTTAGCTACGTCAAACCGATCCTGGCGACGCTGCTGGAAGCCACCAAAACCTAGCGCAAACTTGGCACACACCAGCGCGTGAACCGAAGTGAGATAGGTACTCCAGATTGGTTTGCAATCCTATATGCTACCCCCGTCAGCGATAGCTAATGACAATGTAGTCAATTTATGTGCACGGCTGACCAGGCGATGGGGATCTCCAGGTGGCGCGTTGGCGACAGGATCCCCGAAAGCTAGTGTTGGACAAAAGGAGGCCTTGAAGTAGACGATCAAAGTTGTCTGTTCTGCGAGTGTCATGGTTGTGTTGACCACCGAGTTCACGTTCGTCAAATTCAAGTCTATCGACCTGCGCGTTAAAGCCTGTCGAGCACCACCGTGTCGGTACAGCGCTTTTTACGGAGATCGGCCAGTTGACCATAGAACTCGTCCTTAACTGACTCCGGGCTGCAATCTGTGGGAGCGTACGCTGCGACAATGAATAAACAGAGGCTGCTGGTTCCGGAGTGTCGTGATGGATCTCGATCTCCGTTGATGAACCTGTACAGTTCAGAAGGGAGTGAAAAGATAAGAAAATCCCTTGAGTGTTCATTCTTGAGCGGATTGTTGAGCCAGGAAAAGATAAGGTACTACTAGATCTTGATGGAGCTAAAACGAATTTCCCAAACTACACCCTGGTCAACCAATTACTGCCAATGTTCCCTGCACTAGCAGTCCCCATTGTACGGGTTACGTGAAGTAAAAAGGAGGTAGAAAGAAAGTGAATGATAAAGAGGAAGGAGTCATTTAAATGAAGGATAATACCTAAGAATGAGGGGAATGACAGAATACGAACTCAAAGTTGGAAAATGGATATAGTCAGGAGAAGGGAAAGGCTACGTGTTGCCACCCAAGAGAGTCTAACTGACGCTCGAGACCCTTAGCCGTAGGTTCACTGACTATATGTTCTGGAAACGAGTTCCAGCGCTCGATAACTCGGCGCGATAACCGAGTTCCCGCCCTGATCCAGTCGGGACGCGGCTTGTGTAGCTTCATGGGATGACCGCGAAGACAAGGCAACCTAGCCGGGCTAAATAGCCAGCTAAAATCCGGTCCAACCTTCACTGCTAAAACGAGGTAAGTAAGCATTGAGTCTCCTCGAAGCCGTCGATGGTGCATTTAATACATACGAAGTTAGGTAGACGCTCGGGGTACATTTGCCCCCGTAACCCCACGACCAACTTGGTACCAACTCTCAAGACCCTCTCGAGCTCCATTTTGTCCCGAACAAGGCAGGGCTCGCAAAGCTTGACACAATATTCTAAGTGGGGCTAAACGAAAGCCGAGAACCGCTTCACAATGACGTTGGCAGTTAAGAATCCGAAAGGACGCCGTATTAACTACAACATTCTGAAACCCCTACTTAGGATCTACCTCCAGTTGTCACTAGAATGCAAAGAGGAGGAATGGACGACGCCGAAGTTCATCTGATTGGCGACAAGGTAGAGTTCGACACCACCGAGCCCGTACCTCGAAGGTGGGAAAGTTGCTCCTATAGGAAGAACTGAACACAGACTGATGTATGGACAGCAATCACAAAGTAGAGCAGTCTCAGTCTGCTTTTTCTGCTTTTCGGCAGAAAGCAGCTACTGAAAAGTCGGTTTGGGTGACGATACTCAAATCTCTTCCAGCTGACGAGACCTGCAGAGCAGACTTTCTCAGAAAGTGTATTGGAGAAGCGGAAGGGCGGGTGGAGAGGACGCGACATTTCCAAGAGTTAAACGGGAGGTTGTTTTCCAGGGGGCCACTAGTGCAAACGGTTAAGATCTCTATCGTATCGTTTGGAGCATTGATTGTGCGCCACAGCTTCGCGTTGTTGGCGTAGAGCAGCATCGATAACTCGATCTGTGTTGTGATATCATCGATGGAGGACAGGAAGAATTCCGGTCCAGGAACAGACCCCTGTGGAACTCCACTTGTTAAAGGGATACGGGAGGATAGCGCTCCGTCGACACGTACTTGGACGGTACGGTGGTAGAGGTAGTTCCGGATTCAGTCCATTGAGGCCCCAGAGATACCGTAGAACGACAGCTTATGCATTAGGGTGGCACGGTCGACTTTATCGAAAGCCTTGGGGAAATCTAAGAGGATTTATGTTTCCAGGCCGGTGTCAGCCACAGTACTCCAGTTATCCTGTGCGAGTAGCAGGTTACTTAGGCATGGGCTGGCATGCTGAACAACCTCCTCGTGGTGCCAGCTGAGTGGTTCGGGATTTTTCCGTTCCAGCAAATGGTTCGGCGGCAGTGTTCCATGACGTGGTGGGTTTTCGCCTGGCAAGCGTTTTGCCTATAAAAAGCCACCAATGTCTGTTTAACAACACTGTGACGTGGTGGATGTGACGCCACTAAATGAAGTCCATGCTCCTTGCCCCTCCCTGAGAGGCATTGTACTTCAAGAGTGCGTTCGGCCCCTGGTGCTTCACGGACCGAAATGTGCATAAGCCATCTAGTTGGACACCGGCTTCCAAAGGGTTGCGACGTCCTCACATTGCCCTGCTGCCCTGTAGGTTAGACTTTCTAACAAAGGCTTGCGGTAGAGCCCCTAAGACAACCCTTCACTTCGGCCTAGGCAACCGGGTAGTGTCACGTCCACTGACGAATCATGGACCGCACTGCTTTTGCTATGCATATCATCATCATCATCATCATCATCATCATCATCATCATCATCATCATCATCATCATCATCATCATCATCATCATCATCATCATCATCATCATCATCATCATCATCATCATCATCATCATCATCATCATCATCATCATCATCATCATCATCATCATCATCATCATCATCATCATCATCATCATCATCATCATCATCATCATCATCATCATCATCATCATCATCATCATCATCATCATCATCATCATCATCATCATCATCATCATCATCATCATCATCATCATCATCATCATCATCATCATCATCATCATCATCATCATCATCATCATCATCATCATCATCATCATCATCATCATCATCATCATCATCATCATCATCATCATCATCATCATCATCATCATCATCATCATCATCATCATCATCATCATCATCATCATCATCATCATCATCATCATCATCATCATCATCATCATCATCATCATCATCATCATCATCATCATCATCATCATCATCATCATCATCATCATCATCATCATCATCATCATCATCATCATCATCATCATCATCATCATCATCATCATCATCATCATCATCATCATCATCATCATCATCATCATCATCATCATCATCATCATCATCATCATCATCATCATCATCATCATCATCATCATCATCATCATCATCATCATCATCATCATCATCATCATCATCATCATCATCATCATCATCATCATCATCATCATCATCATCATCATCATCATCATCATCATCATCATCATCATCATCATCATCATCATCATCATCATCATCATCATCATCATCATCATCATCATCATCATCATCATCATCATCATCATCATCATCATCATCATCATCATCATCATCATCATCATCATCATCATCATCATCATCATCATCATCATCATCATCATCATCATCATCATCATCATCATCATCATCATCATCATCATCATCATCATCATCATCATCATCATCATCATCATCATCATCATCATCATCATCATCATCATCATCATCATCATCATCATCATCATCATCATCATCATCATCATCATCATCATCATCATCATCATCATCATCATCATCATCATCATCATCATCATCATCATCATCATCATCATCATCATCATCATCATCATCATCATCATCATCATCATCATCATCATCATCATCATCATCATCATCATCTCATCATCATCATCATCATCATCATCATCATCATCATCATCATCATCATCATCATCATCATCATCATCATCATCATCATCATCATCATCATCATCATCATCATCATCATCATCATCATCATCATCATCATCATCATCATCATCATCATCATCATCATCATCATCATCATCATCATCATCATCATCATCATCATCATCATCATCATCATCATCATCATCATCATCATCATCATCATCATCATCATCATCATCATCATCATCATCATCATCATCATCATCATCATCATCATCATCATCATCATCATCATCATCATCATCATCATCATCATCATCATCATCATCATCATCATCATCATCATCATCATCATCATCATCATCATCATCATCATCATCATCATCATCATCATCATCATCATCATCATCATCATCATCATCATCATCATCATCATCATCATCATCATCATCATCATCATCATCATCATCATCATCATCATCATCATCATCATCATCATCATCATCATCTCATCATCATCATCATCATCATCATCATCATCATCATCATCATCATCATCATCATCATCATCATCATCATCATCATCATCATCATCATCACCATCATCATCATCATCATCATCATCATCACCATCATCAGAAGCCTCAAAATCGTCTTCATCCTACTTCTCCTCCTCCTCCTCCTCATCATCATCAACAACAGCAGTACATCAGCCATGTGAACTGATGCTTCGCTGCCATACAACCATGAGGACCCATGAAATAATGAATAAGAAGAAGGAGGGAAGGGGGACTTACCTGAAAACCTTAATACCCGAAGCAAACATTCAGGGTCAAGGCGCCTACACCTTGTGTAGGCAACATGCCATCGCAAACAGCTGGCTATCGTGCAAAGATAAGGCGACATCGGCGAGACAGCTTCCCTGCGGCTTTCACTGCCACGCGTCATAATCAGCCACTACCTCGCAGATAACTCAGCACCAAACACACTTTAAACAGGCAATCCGATTAGGAGACGGCAGCAGACGTGCCACTGGTGTCGGCTGCGAGCCATGTCCTGCAAAGTCTCGAGCCAAGCACAAGACGAGTCACGTGGACTCCAGCCAGGAAGGCGAGACGGACAAACCGCACCCAGTTTGGTCGTCAGTGACTTCATTTCCCGCTGCCAAGTCAACTTCTGTCCACCTCGAGCCTTGCGCCATCCTACACCTGGCAGACTAAACAAAGCCGTCCTTGGTAAGCGGTGACCAGGCATGTGTAGCACGTGCCCGAGCCAACGCAACTTATTCAGTGCTATCAGTTGTTCTAGGGAGCTAGCATGATTAGCACCACCTAGTACTCGCCTACGCACATCATCGTTGCGGACACGCTAGTGCCATCCGACATCAGCAATGCTTCGCAGACAACGATGATCAAAGACTTGAAGGCGCCTCAAGTATTCAGACCGAAGGGGCCATGTTTCACTACCATAGAGCAGAACGGCCCTCACCGTGACCTTGTATACACGGCCTTTCAGACGGAGGAAAACGCCCTTCTGTTGCGACAGATGTCGCACTTTCAGGAACGCAGTTCTAGCTTTTGCAATGTGTGAATTGACTTCAGTTTCTATGCAGTGCTATCAATCCCGCACTGAAAATGCCACCTCGAATGGTGGCGAAACGTCTGCGACCAAGTTGCCCAGCTCGGAGAACTCCACAACAACTGAGTTCAAATGCTGTCAAGGAAACATTCTATCACGAACTGAACGCGGTACTACGCAATGCTACTTGTTCAGATAGTATAGTATTTACATGGGATATAGACGCACAAGTAGGGCGTCTGAGCTCTTCAGAAGCTCAACTGGGTGGTAATTGTGGGCTTAACTCCGAACGGACTGACAACGGTGAGCGTCTGCTGCAACTGTGTGCGCAGCACCCGTTGTTTCTTAGTAGCACTGCTTTTAGACAGTGGGCGCCAAAGTGCCACTTGGCGTCCTCCTGTAGCTGGCCAGCGATGAGCCAGAATTGACCACATGGCCATAAGGTACAGGTGGCGCGGTTCCATCCTGAATTGCCGCTCGTACTGGAGTACCCGTGTCGACTATGATCATGTCTTGGTACGCTGTCGTTTCTCGATGAACTTTACCGGGAGGCGCACCTAACCTTTCCTCTGATTGGCAACTGAGAAATTGTCTCGTCTTCAGTAAGGCAAGCCTATCAAGAAGCACTGTATACCGAACTTCCGCTGTCTTGTCCTAATGACACTGAGCTTCAGTGGAATAGGATCTCGGCCGTCATGCACGACGCAGGAGCATCTGCTTGTGGCACTATCAGTCGTCACCGCACCAGTCACTTGATATCCGAGAGGTCGGTGAACTTGTTGAAATCTAGAAGACACCTCCCGACTAGCTCTGAACACAATGTGACCAGACGGGCTATTATGCGTGAACTAAAACGGAGCCTAGATGCTGGCAAGGAAGCCTGGTGAATCAGCAGGCGTCCAGAAATGGAAGAGGCAGGAGCAGTAGGCAATTGCCGCAAGCTCTTCCAGCTGATCCGCACCACTGGCCCTAGAAAACCAGGCGTCAGTGAGACAAGCAGAGACAGCGCGGTTGCGTTGATACACAATAAGGAGCGCCGTATGGCTCGTTTGGCGGAACACTTTCAAGATCACTTCACCTGGCCCCCTGCTCCCGGACCTCTTCCTACTCAGGTGATGCAGGACGAGCCACGGACGGTTAGTTTAGAGCCTCCGTCAGGGGCCAAGGTCCGGAACGCGATCACAGCCCTTAATCGCTTGCGTGCCCCCGCCCCGGATTCCCTCCCACCTGCACTATTTAAGGATGGAGGTAAAGTCCTCTGCGAGGCACTGACCTCCCTATTCGGATGTATCTGGAAGGAAGTGTCCCGGCTAATTGGGGCGAATCGATTATAGTGGCAATATACAAAAAGGGCAGTCGCACAGACTGTTCTAACCACAGGGGTATTAGCCTAACGCCAGTTGTGACAAAATTACTGGCCTCGATTATCGTTCGTCGCCTCACTGCGGAACAAGAATCTCGGATTAGGGAAGAGCAGGCAGATTTCCGCCCAGAACGTGGCTGTATAGACCATATATTCACTTTGCGTCAGGTGCTAGAGCAGCGCCACGCAAACCGCAGACCGACAATAGCTGTGTTCCTTGATTTCAAGAGTGCGTTCGATTCAGTCGATCGATCCGTTCTGTTAGAAATACTTGGGCGGAAAGGTGTTCCCACGGAATATGTGAACATCCTTCGTGCTCTAGTTTTCCGACCACAAGTAGCGTTTGTCAGGGTTGTCCGATTTCCCCGCTTTTGTTCAATTTCATCGTGGATTCTATCATGGAGTGTTCCCTTGCGGAATCTCATGATGTAGGCGTTGAAGTGCAGCCTGGTGAAAAGTTAGTTGATCTAGATTATGCAGACGATATCGTCTTGCTTTTTAACGATGTTGGGGCTGCACAATCAACCCTGAATAGCCTGTGCAGAGTGGTCCCATTATTTGGTATGCACTTCGCACCTTCAAAGTGCAAAGTGTTGCTGCAGGAACCCCAGCCACTTGATAACCCCTTGACGCTTGCTAATGAGGAACTCGAGGTGGTTGATCAATTCACTTATCTCGGCAGCTGCATCAGCAATGATGGGCGCATAGAAAGTGACGTTAGCTAACGCACTGCAAAAGCCAGAGCTGGCATCTTGAACCTGCGGCATCTCTGGAGACAGAAGGGAGTTTCGCTTCGTCTGAAAGGCCGTGTATACAAGGCCACGGTGAGGGCCGTTCTGCTCTATGGTAGTGAAACATGGCCCCTTCGGTCTGAATACTTGAGGCGCCTTCAAGTCTTTGATCATCGTCGTCTGCGAAGCATTGCTGATGTCGGATGGCACTAGCGTGTCCGCAACGATGATGTCCGTAGGAGAGTACTAGGTGGTGCTAATCATGTTAGCTCCCTAGAACAACTGATAGCACTGAATAAGTTGCGTTGGCTCGGGCACTTGCTACACATGCCTGGTCACCGCTTACCAAGGAGGGCCTTGTTTAGTCTGCCAGGTGTAGGATGGCGCAAGGCTCGAGGTGGACAGAAGTTGACTTGGCAGCGGGAAATGAAGTCACTGACGACCAAACTGGGTGCGGTTTGTCCGTCGCGCCTTCCTGGCTGCAGTCCACGTGACTCGTCTTGTGCTTGGCTCGAGACTTTGCAGGACATGGCTCGCAGCCGACACCAGTGGCACGTCTGCTGCCGTCTCCTAATCAGATTGCCTGTTTAAAGTATGTTTGGTGCTGAGTTATCTGCGGAGTACTGGCTGATTATTACGCGGGGCAGTGAAAGCCGCAAGGAAGCTGTCTCGCCGATGCCGCCTTCTCTTTGCACGATAGCCAGCTGTTTGCGATTGCATATTGCCTACACAAGGTGTAGGCGCCTTGAACCTGAATGTTTGCTTTGGGTATTAAGGTTTACAGGTAAGTCCCCCTTCCCTCCTTCTTCTTATTCATTATTTCATAGGTCCTCATGGTTGTATGGCAGCGAAGCATCAGTTCAAATGGCTGATGTATTGCTGTTGTTGATGATGAGGATAGTGGTCCTGCAGCAACATTTTGCACTTCGAAGGTGCGAAGCGCGTACCAAATAATGGGTCCCCTCTAAACAGGTTATTCAGGGTTGATTGTGCCGCCCCAACATCGTTGAAAAGCAAGACGATATCGTCCGCATAATCAAGATGAACTAACAATTCATCAGGTAGGACCTCAACGTCTACATCGTGAGATTCCGCAAGGGAACACACCCGAATAGAATCCACGATGAAATTGAACAAAAGCGGGGAAATCGGACAACCCTGACAAACGCCGCTTGCAGTCGAAAAGCTAGCTGATAGGACACCATAGACCCTGACGCGGCCTGTAGTGTTCGAGTAGAGAGCACGAAGGATGTTCACATATTTCGTGGGCACACCTTTTTACGCAAGTAATTCGAACAGAACGGATCGATCTACT